GCATCGAGGAGCAAAGAACTGCACATGAGCATACACCCTCGGAGCTCCGCGCGGAGTTCTTCGGCCCCGCGCCCCAGGCGCCGACGGGGAGCAACGCGCGCAGGTCCTGGAACTTCTCGCAGAGCTCCGAGCGCTTAACGCCTGCGCCGCTGTTCCTCCGTCGGATGCAACAGTCCGTGCCCTGCCCGCGCGGATCGCAGCTCCTGCCCTCCCAGCTTGTCCGGTTCAGCCACCTCGTCGGCTACGCGCAGGCGTGGCACCAGGCTTAAGCGGCAAGCAAAAGAGAGCCCCCCGGTGCCCGGCGCTCCGGGGGGGCGCGGGGGCGCCGAACCCAGGCGCGCAAGCCGCTGCCACCGCACGGCACGCATCGCCCGGGGACCACTGTGGGCCCACACCAAATAGGGAGCGCGCGAAGGACGTACGCGCCCAACCACGTACATGAACACGGCCCCCCCCGTCTGCGAGACCAGCCTCGTGACCCGAGCGCCCGCGCAGTGCGTACTCCGAAACCGACGTGGAATCATGTCCGTGTACGTCCTTCTTTCGCTCCCGACCAAAAGTGACTCTGGCGAAGGGTCACTCTTACGTGCAACCGACCTTAGCATCTCCGGAAAGCGTCTGCGCCACGCCGGGCTTCCCGCATACGCCATGATTTTCCGCGTCATGTTAAAGCTGGCGGGCATCGCAGCGTTGCGACAACCGGCGCCGAAATTGGCAGCGTCGTAGGGCCCCCGTACTTTCGTCCAGAAATTGGAGTCTGTCATCGCGCCCATGTTGACTCCACCGATGGCTATGTTCCCGAAGTAGTGGTTGTCGTGCCCGTTGTTGTTGTCGATGATGTTGCCGGTCACGTTCCACAGCACGTTGCCCGACACCAGCTCCGCGCCGGACGACGTGCCGTCCAGGTAGAGCCCCTTGCCGTGCCAGAGCTCCGCGCTCGTCTGGTGGCAGAAGTTGTTCAGCACCCGGTTGCCGCGCCCCCACAGGTTGGTGACGCTCCGAGGCATCCCAAGTCGAAACAGCGGCGGCCTGAGGGAGGGCCAGCTCCTGGGCGTTCCTGGGGGGAGGAGGGGGGAAAGGGAGGAGGAGGAGGAGGAGGATCGAGGAGGAGGAGGAGGAGGAGGAGGAGGGGAGGAGGAGGAGGAGGAGGAGGGGAGGAGGAGGGGAGGAGGAGGAGGAGGAGGAGGAGGAGGAGGGGAGGAGGAGGGGGAGGAGGGGGAGGAGGAGGAGGAGGAGGGGGAGGAGGAGGCGGAGGAGGAAGAGGAAGAGGAAGGGGGGGAGGAGGAGGAGGAGGAGGAGGAGGAGGACCCGGCTGCCGCGCCCCCACAGGCTGGTGACGCGCCGAGGCATCCCCGAATCGAGCCACCGGCGGCCTCTGCCCTGGCGTCTGCGCTCGCTCTTCTCGGGCCGCCCCGCTCCGCGTCGTCGCCGCGGTCGGACCCGCGTGGGAAAACTGCTCCAGGTAGACCCCTAGACCCTGAGATCCAACGCGTTGAAAAAATCAAGACGGAGGTGTTTCCCAGATTTCGGCCCCCAGGGGCCCTCGCCGGGCCTCGGGGCCGTCAGAAAACGACTCGGGATGAGACGCTGGTCCTGGGGAATGGGTCGAGACTGCCGGGGACCCCGTATTGAAAAAAATCACGACGTCGGATCTCTGGGGAGGTAGGTCGGGCCTCTCCCCCTTACTGGCGGATTGTACAATCAAAAACCCTAAACAAGGACGCGCGGTAAGGACGCAAGGCCCTCGGAAGCCGAAGTGGGGTTTTTTGGGGCGGCGGACGACGGAAACCTCAAGGACGCAAGAGCAAGGAAGAGCAAGGACGCAAGGGTACCCTGAGCAAAGTCGCGCGTCCTTACTAGGGTTTCTGAATGTAAACGAAAAATTAGAAATACCCCAACCATATTCAAACATGCTCCACACGAAATCAAGCATCGTCTCCAGACTATGTTGTCACTATTTTTGAACACTCCCCCCGTGAGGGACAGGCCTGACTCAATCCTTCTCGTCACCACGGTTGGGACCCGCGTCGAGAAACTGATCCAGTCGGGGATGGACAGACCCCCCTTTCGTAAAACGTGGTTTAGTGAAAACGACCTGAGGCCCAAACCTGGCGGGCGCAAGCCTGGAAAATAGCGGCCGCGGCGCCCTCTCGAGAACCGAAAACGGACAATTCACGAATCGACGTGTCACTGTTGGGGGTTCTGTCCACCCCCGATCCAGGTGGACCCCTGGAGGGACTTTGGGACGGATCTCGACCGCATCCGGGCCGGGGGCCAGAGGGCCGCCGCTGTCTCGAACGGAGTCCCTCCGAGAAGAAATACACGCACCCTCCGTCCGCGCCAAGGTACCCTTCGGTCCTTCTCGGGGGCGCGCGAGCATGGATCAGCGATCCATGGATTTGGCGCGCGGGGTCGCCAAATCCATGGATCGGGGGAGGTCCCCTCCCCAACAATGCAGCTGGTGCCGCCTCGTTCGGCGGCGGGCATCCGCGATTTCCAAAGGAAACGGGACCCGTCGCTAAGCCACGCCCCCTTGGCCACCTTGATCCATGTTTTCGACCGCCAGACCTTAGAGGCCTCCGAGATGGGATCCGAGCAGATGGGGTCGGAGGATCGCGCCGAATCGCCGATGCATCGTCGACGTCGGCGATGGATCGGCGACGTCGGCGTGGAGAAAATCGGGCTCCATTTCGAGCCGCATTGTCGATGCGGCGCGATCCTCCGACTCCATCTACTCGGACCCCGTCTGGGAGGGCTAGAGTCCTGCAGACAGGGTCCGAGACGCACTGGTTCCAGTTGGTGATGTGGTTCAGCTCGATGGTGACAAGGGCCGTGGGACTCTCAACGCTTCCGGGATGGTGGAACCAGGAGTGCAGGCGACTCTGGATGTACACCCCGTGGTAATTCACGTCGTGGATGTATCGAGGAGCAAACAGCGGCATAATCGTACTTTCTCGGAGGTCCGCGCGGACTTCTTGCATCTGTCGCGCGCGGGGCGCGCCGGTGGCGGCCCCGGACGCGCCGCCAGGAGGTGTGGCCCAGTCCCGACCCCAGAAATCCGGGCGGAAATCCGAGAAGTTATGCTCATGCCGGTTTTCCCTCTTCGAGGTGTAGTTCTTGCGCACCGCGGCACCGACCACCTCTGGCTTGGACGCCCGAAATGGGCACGGTAAGAATATGCACAATGCCCAACAACACATGTTGTCCCAAACCAGCAGCGGCCGCTGTTGGGCAGGCGGCCCTCTGTCTCGAATGGACACAGGCCGCGGCGGCGTGGACGGCGAATCCGGCTCAAAATGAACAGGAACTGCTGTGGGCCATTGTGCCCATTCTTGCCGTGCCCATTTCGGGCGTCGATGGCAGGTGGTCGCAAGCAGGGCTGCACTGGACGCCGGCCGGGCGCCGGGCGCCGGGCCGGCCGCTGCAACGTGGGACCGACGACGACGTGATATCAGCAGTGGAGGAGGAGGAGGAGGAGGAGGAGGAGGAGGAGGAGGAGGAGGAGGAGGAGAAGGAGGAGGAGGAGGAGGAGGATAAGAAGTTGGGAGTGAGAGCGCGTGTGGGAAGCAGCGCTCCGGCAGCCCGCGCAGGGCGCGCTCCGGCGCACCTTCGGCCTTCGGACTTCGACCTCCGACCCCTTTCGGGCGTCCAGGTCCCCCGAGCGGAGCGCCGACGGGGGGTGGGGCCCCGGCCGCCCCCCCCTTCGCCGCGCGGGCTCCCCGGCGGCGGGGGCGGGGTGCCGGTGGGCACGCGGCGGCGGGGCGCGGATGGAGGAGAGGGCGATACCACGTGGGGAGAGCCCTCTTCGAGGAGGGGGCGATATCACATGGCGCCATCACGTGGGGAGTCCCGACCCCAGAGATCCAAACGGACATCAGAGAGGTTATGCTCATGCCATTTTTGCCCCCCTTCGAGGTGCAGTTCTTGCGCACCGCGGCACCGACCACCTCCGGGGGCGTCCACGAGCGGGGCGCCCCACGAGGGGGGGGGGGGTTCGCCTCGTGGCCCGAGGCACGTGCGCGGCCCAGGTGGGCGGGCGCCAGGGGGCCCCGCGGAAAGCAGCCGAGGGGCCCCAGCCATGATGTCCACAGGGCCCGTTCCGACCTAAGGGTACTTCAGGTTTCTCTGGTGCAATTTTGGAAATATGTTTGGTTATACGTTTGATTATTGGCTCAAGCCATTTTGGCTCAAGCCATTTTGGCTCAAGCCGCTAGTGGCTCAAGCATAGCCGCCTCCCTATTGTACGATCCGACCTACCTACTCTTTACTCATATCCATCTTACTTCTCTTGCTTCTTTCTGTGGACACATTGGGAATCCACTATGTCAACTCGTACGCCAGGCACTCCCGTGAAGGCAGTTCTGCAGCACCGACCTGATGGTTCTGCAGGTGGCGGTTCTGTGCAACCGACTGGTGGAGGACCGAAGCGACCTGAACATCCTGAGACTTACGCCCTGGCCACACCGCCGCCGAAGAGCGCACTCAAGCAGCCGCGCCTTGGCAGCCCGAGTGCCGCCATGGACACCGGTCCGGTCGCTGCCCAACAAACTGCTCTTCAACACGGACTGGGGGAGGCTGCATCGGCTCTCCGTTCAAATACATTCCAGCCGGAGTTCGACGACCTACCGAAGGAAGAGGACATCGAGAACCCAAATGCGCCAGTGACCGTAGCAACCATGCACGAGATCTTCCGCCAATACATGCTTCCGGTCATGAGGGCCAACAAGTCCATGAGCACGGACCTTCACGCCTTCAAGACGACGATGGAAGCGGAGATGGAGGAGATCAATATCAGGACTACCAACCTGGAGGATGACATCGAAACAACGAGGGAAGACATCGCCAGCACCCATGGCGAGCTACGAGCAGAAATCGCAGAACTCCGGGAAGCCCTACAACAAGCAACTATCACGCCACGATCTACCGGAGCATCTTCCGCGAATGGGCAATGCAATACATCAACACTGGTTTTCGGTGGATTGCCACACAACACAGTAGCC